TACTACTACTACTACTACTACTACTATTTCTACTGCCGCTCGATGGTGATGCAACATACTGATGATAGAACTCATAGTATTATTGATGCTAAGAGTAGTTACAAATGACGGGACTATAAGTCAACGATCGGTACATTGCCCCCTCCATGTCAACGAGAATTTTAAATATGGATTTGTGCTATGTTGTATAAATAAATGCTTAACGCCCGGAGCACATTAGAGCTTGCCTTATTTTTCACCGTATCATCCAAATCCATTAAGCCGTGTCAGTTGCTTCTTGGGTAAAACCACATTCATTTCGCGCCTTTTATGCATGGACATTGCGCATAGCTTACCCAGAATACGTCCCGTCACCACCCCACCCCTCCCGATCCGAAAAGCCAAGGTCCTGAACGCACCGACCCCTTCCATGCTGGCGGCATGAGAACGAAGAGGTGACCAAGTAATACCCCTCTCTTCCCCCGTCTGCCCCGAGAACCTTAAAACTACTGCCCATGACTGACGATTTCATTCGCTCTGTCAACATATTGGCGATCAATGAGCGAAGACATAATTTCGGAACCGAACTATCTAATACTTTGTTTATTAGCACTAGTCAAGCAATCTACTTTACTTTATAGTACCTCACTTTAACTATATATCTTCCAAGGAAAGCTCCTATTCCCCTTCACCTAGCTTTATTTGCCCAACCGTCAATTCCGCAGAATAAGTAAACCTCAGCGACAGATATAATCTCCTCAACTTGATCACTTGATTTGTAGATTATTATACATTTGTCGCTCGCTTTTAACTCCCACTTGGATAATTATACGTAACAAATGACTTGAATGAACTAGCCATGAAGAAGTTTGCAATCAACTCAGGAATCGAGCCGGCAACAGTAAGAGCGGGTAACACAAGTTCGAAAATTGCCTTCAAGACCTCTTAGGTTAGTGAATCACAGCAACAATATTTCTAAAAATATTATCCTATCTTCGACTGTCACGTCTTTAAGTGTGAATTTGAAACGAACGGGTAAAAAGCGTGTTATTTCAGAGACGACACCTTCCTCATCCAAACCGCTTCATGTACCTCACCTTGTTTGACTCTTCACAATCGCTACATCCTATCTTCGTGGGTTGGCATTTTGCCGAGGCCGTCAATGTTTTCCATTAAGGGGTTTAACGCGCCCATAATTACACATTTTGCAAGCGCTTGTAGTAGTTACTTGCTTAAGAGCAGGACTTTAATTTACCGTTTTGCATTATAGCAATGTTCTCCATGTCGGCTCAAGGTTCTGCCGGTAAGCTGCTGTAGGAAATGTACATTCCTTAAATGCCGGAAATATAAACCGGACAATTTCTTCAATGCTCGAGGCTTTCATGCACCATATATTCGCCTGCATTTCTTAACAACCAAGTCTCCTTGATGGAAAAAAATTCGACCCTGTTGTCAATGTACTTTTTTAAAGTTATACGCCTCAAGCTATACCTCTGATATGAGTAAAATTTGTGGCTGGTCATCCTTCATTTAAATCTTGCATAAAGAGGCGCCCAGTATGGGTATTGGAGGAAAAAATGCAGGCTTTGGCGCCTTCGGTACGTTGGGTGTAAAACAGGTTGATTTTCAGGGTAAATTTCTGCTCTCAAGACAAAATCATATTTCTGGGAAAATTCCAATGTTACGATTGAAAAGTTAGCTTTGCAAACTCATTTTTTCAGCAATTAATCCTCAGTTTGATACGTTGACCGCGAAAGTGTTATCGTCATTTAGGTACGACGGAGACAGTGTTTTTAGGACGCTGTGTCTTCTAATTTTGAAGCACGCGAAAAGCGTTTGACTGTCTTCTGGGACGTCGAGCGGCCCAGGTCCGCCGCCCGCTCTCGGTTATGGAAGACAGATTGCTGGAATCAGTGCATTTTACAACAAAAAGGTGCTGGTTAGTACCCTAACTGAATTGCCCATGCATTTAGCTGTGCCTACAGTCCGTTTGCAGAGGCCTTAGCAGCATAGCACGGGTGCTCAGTGTATGACTTGAAAGGCCTCGCTCGCGTCCAAATAGGTATTTTGGCACAACCTTGAAAAATATTTCAATATTGCTTTTTAATGCAAATTAAAGCAGAGACTAAATCAATTTAGAGCCGAGATCTTTTTGCTTGACTAGCAGCAATTAAATTGGTTTCCTGAAAAGATAGAGTAGGCATTACCGTACCCGATCCAGCGTGGGCAACTTTGTCCTATGCACGCCTGAACACCGCCTAATCCAGACCTTTTTGCCATTTCTACCCTAATACCTACACTCACGCACCGTTAGCCTTCGCTCAAGAAGACCGGGACTGATAATGTTACTACTATTTCTACTGCCACTTGATGCTGATGCAACGGGATGATAATAGATCTGACAAGAAGAAGACTCGATCGCTAGGACAATGTGTTTATTCGCCTGACGTTTTGACATCCGTCGCGGATTCATCATCAGAGACATGAGTTAGAAAACAGTAGCAGAGGCGTGTAATGCCTGCACAGCAGTTTGCAGTATTTATAGGATACAGTCATTACTGCAAATATACAGCGACAATTAACGTTCATGGCCTACTTGCGCGTGGATACTTGGTTAGCTGCTCGCGGGCTCTGACCTGTTGAACTTCCATCACGGGCGGTAGGATCAGGCGTGATGATTGCTCGGTCGTCTGGCCCTCCGGTGTTGGCATACGGTGAAGCGGTGGCCTGGCCGTTCTCCAAGTGACGACTTGGTTTGTGCAAATTGAGTCTCAGCATTGAACATGGATTTGGCAAATCGTTGCACTTGTTTATGGATTGGGGACCCGTGAACCATGACTGAAGCAGTTCTCGGCTCACCCGATTCTTAACCCTTGCGATAATTTTGGCCTCATGAAATTTGAAAGTGTGGCCGGGTCTCGTCGAATGGACCGCAACTTGAGAACTGGCATCATTTCGGCGCACTGCTGCCGCTTATTCGGCAATTCGTGTCTTGAGAAGTCTGACAGTTTCACCGAAATGGTTGCTTCGACCACAACTGCACCAGATCCTCTAGACGACCATAGATGTTTCTTGCCGTGTTAGTGGGTCTTTCGGCTTCATTAGCTGACGCCTTATGGTTGCCAACCGGCCTGTGTGCGACTCCAACTCCATGTGGTGCGAGACGGCGACCGACGGCTTCCGATACGTTTTTGTGGTACGGGATCGCTCCCCGGATGTTGGTGTCGGTGCACCTTTGTTAGCCATCTCGTTTGCACAAGCACTGGTTGACGAAGTTGCCTGGGTAGCAACCTAACTCTGAACACCCGTCACTGCTATTCTACCTTGGCAAATTTATCTCCTTCATCGCTGCAGTGCGTCTCAGCACGCCGATAGAGCGTGTTTACGCAGGTGCGTTTGTGGCTGATTGGGTGGTTGCTCTTGTAAATGAGTACTTGCAGCATGTTTGTCGCTTTCCTGAATACTTTTGTCTTGAGACCATCACAATCTTTGCGACAGACGAGGACATCAAAAAGGCTAGCTGGTTGTTGTCTTCCTCCATCGTAAATTGGATGTCCGGGTAGAGGCTGTCGATACGTTCCTTGAACGTGAACATCTGAACCAATTCGATGACGACGAAGGTGTCATCCACATACCGCGCCCAGAATTTAAGTCCGTGGTTTTGGAAAACCAGCGACTCCAGCCGTTGCAGGACCGCCTCGGCTATGAGTCCCGAAATCTGTGAAACCATCGTTGTACCCTTCGCCTGCTCGGAAACCGTTCAAACAAACGTAAATTACGTCCGGTGACAGAAGTTAAGAGTTCTAGGATTTGCGCATGTGCATCGTATTTGTTTCGTAGGATTAATTCGACGATCTCGACTACCAGATCCTCAGGGATAGAAATAAAAACGAACATGACATCGAAGGAAACCATGATATCACTTGGCAAGGGACTTACCCCTGTAAGGTTCTACAAGGATTGTATTGATAGCGGACGGTGGCCTGCGAATCAGCAGTCAGAAATTTGAGACGCGGAAACAGCCACTTTGCTAGTCCGTACGTAGCAGTGCCTTTTAGTGATGCGTCAAAGAGGAGCGCCTTCCTTGTGCACTTTAGGGAGGCCATAGAAGCGGGCCTAGACCGTTTCTTGTGCCGTCGCCATGCGTCGGTCAGACGGCGATATTTGCACAACCGTCAATTCCGCGGAATGAGTAAACGCCTGCGACAGATAAATGTTCCCATCTGGATCCCTTAATTTGCCCATAAATATCTTTTTCGCTCGCTTTTGACGCCTACCTGGACAATTATACGTAACAAATGAGTTGAATGAACCAGCCATGAAGAAGTTTGGAATCAACGCAGGATTCGAACCGGCAACTGTAACAGTGGGTAAAACAAGTTTGAAAATTGCGTTCAAGATCTCTTAGCTCACCGAACCATAGCAAGAGTATTTCTAAAACCGTTATCCTGTCTTCGACTGTCTCGGCATCAAGTGTGAAATTGAAACGAAAGGCCAATAAACGTATTATTCCAGAGACCAATCTTTCGTCATCCACTCTGCTTCATGTAATTCATCTTGTTTGCCTCTTCCCAATCGCTACATCCTCTCTTCTTGATTTAGGAGTTCGTCGAGGCCGTCAATGTTTTCCACAAGGGGTCCTATCTCGCTCATAATTACACACTTTGGAAAAGGTGTCTTGAGGGGCCTCGGGCGCGTCAGATTAAGACATATAACACAGCCGCGAAGAACATTTCAACATTCATTTTTATTACAAACTAAACAAAGATTATAGCACTTAAGAGTTAAGTTCTTTTTGCTCGACCAAAACCAATTAACTTATTTTCCCGAATCTTAACCTATGCTTCCGATGGCCGAGCATTACGCAAGAAGTATAGTGATGAAGCAAATTATTATTTATTGCCTTGAATGCACATTTCTTCAGTCTGTAAACTCCACCCATTCGAATTATGAGTTGTTGTCAATCTGAGTTGATATCAAAAGCTAGAATGTGCATTCCAATTTAAAACGTTCACCTTCGATATCAACTAGGAGTTCGAATATCGATTTGTGCTATGTTTTATAGATAAATGTTAAAGGCGCGGAGCATATCAGAGCTTGCCTTATATTCCGCGCACTCATCCGAATCCATTAAGCAGTGTCAGTTGCTTCTTGGGTAGAACCATATCCATTCCGCGCCTTTGATGCATGGACATTGCACATAGGGTACCCAGATGCGTCCCGTCACCACCCCCTACTCCCGATCCAAAAAACCGACGTCCTGAACACACAAACACTTCCATGCAGGTGGCGTGAGAACGAAGAGGTGACCAAGTAATATCCGTCTCTTCCCTTGTCCGTCCCGAGAACTATATAACTACTGCACATGACTGAGCATTTCATTCGCTCTGTCGACATATCGGCGATCAATGAACAAATACATTTTTTCGCCAACATTCCTTTCTAGGATTTTGTTTATTAGCACTAGGCAAGCAATTGACGTTACTTTATAGTACCCACCCTTAATTATATATCTTCAACGGAAAGTTCCCATTCGCCTTGACGAATCTTGATTTGAACAACCGTCAATTGCGCAGAATTAATGAACCCCAGCGACAGAAAACACTTCTTCCGCTTGATCCCTTGATTTACACATAACTGTGTTTGTCGCTCGCTTTTATCCTCTACTTGGACAATTATACGTAGCAAATGAGTTGATTGAAACAGGCATGAAGATGTAGGAAATCAACTCGAGATTTGAACCGGCAACATTTAGAGCGGCTGAAGCAAGTTCGAAAATTGCCCTTAGAGCTAATGGCTTAGTGAATCACAGCAACAATATTTCTGAGACCATTATGCTGTCACGGCTTCAAATATGAATTTGAAAAGGACTAGCAAAAGCGTATTATTCCAGAGTCCACCACTTCCTCATCCAACCCGTTTTATGTACCTCACCTTGTTTTCCTCTTCCTAATCGCTACGTCCCATCTTTGTGGGTTGGCATTTTGCCGAGGCCATAAATGTTTTCCACATGGGATCCTATCTCGCTTATGATAACACACTTTGCAAAAGGTGACTTGAAGAGCCTCGATCACGTCAAAGTAACACATATGACACAGATGCGAACTGTATTTTAACATTCATTTTTCATTGCAAATTAAACACAGATTATAGCACTTTACAGTTCAGTTCTTTTTGCTCGACCGAAACCAATTAACTTGTTTTCCCGAATCTTAACCTATTCTTCCGATGGCCGAGCATTACGCAAGAAGTATAGTGATGAAGCAAATTATTATTCATTGTCCTGAACGCACATTTCTTCCGTCTGCACACTCCACCCATTCGGATAATGAGTAGTAGTCAATCTGAATTGATATCAAACGCTAGAAAATGGATTTCAATTTAAAACTCTCTCATGCATAGTGGAAGCATACTCAAGATTTCTTGTTTTAAAAATTAAACTTATCTTTAGTAAAATGTTGATATTTATAAGTCTCTCGTTTAATTTTTATACGACTACGTCAATTTTAATTTGGCATTACAGGGGCGACAGCTGTGCCAACTGCCCAGACAGGCCCATTCGGCAGTGCTGCAGGTACGTTAAAGAGGACTTTTTTCCAACGTCCCCTTTTTCAGTGCATTTTCCGCTGTTTGCAAAACCACTTTATACGCATGTAGATGAAGGCAGCATATTTCGGCCAGTATTTCCGCCCCAACGTTGCCGTGGGTCAATACTTATTCTTTCAAAAAGTTTCAGGTCACGATGGAAAATTTAGACTGTCAGGCCAATATATTGAGCGAGAGTATTTAATCGCCAGGGATGTAAAACGTTTAGATAATTCAGGTTTAGTCGAACAGTTAGTCCCCACGCCGCCTGTGTGGCGCAGTCGACCTGCTAAGGGCGGTGTGATTGGGTGGTTGGGGATACGAGGGTAGATTGTAGCGATGTCCGTGTGTCTAACAGGCAGAGTGCCTGTGGCTGTTATTAGGGGTTAGAGCAGCGTGCGATTAGCGACGGTAGTTGGACAAAGAAAACAGACCACCTGTATCCACGTTATTCGACAACATGCCGTTCACCGTAGCCCATCTTCACTATCTCAGCTGATGCGTGCATCCATTTACGTACACAATTAGGGCAGACTGCTGACGATCATCATGGTTTGACCATCGATTTCGCCGGTGTTCACCATGTGATTTGAAACCTCGCAGGCCTATTCCACATTCTACATCTTCACCCGCCTGAGCTGGGGAAAAGACAAAGTGTACATTACCGAACCCTGTCTAGCTTGGGCAAAGTTGTGCAATGCACGCACGAATGCCGCCTAATCCATAATCTTGTGCAAATGCTACCACAATACCTACACTCACGCACCGTAAGCCTTTGCTCAAGAAGACCGAGACTAATACTCTTAATGCCACTTCATGGTGATGCAACTTAATGATAATAGAACTCATTGTATTATTGCTACTAAGAATAGTCAAAAGTGATGCGAATTAAAGTCAGTTATGGGTATATTATCCTTTCGATGTCAACTGGTAGTCTAAATATGAATTTTTGCTATTTTGTGTAAATGAAATTTAAAGGCCCGGAGCACATCAGAGCTTCCTTTATAACCGCCCTCTCATCTCAATCTATCAACCTATGTCAGTTGCTCCTTGGGTAGGACCACATTCATTCAGCCTGTTTCATGCATGGACATTGCGCCTAGCGTACCTAGAATGCGTCCCGTCACAACCCCCCCTCCTCCCTGGCGATCCAAAGAAAGCAACGTCCTTAACACATCGACCCTTCCATGCAGGCGGCGTGATATCAAAGACGTATCTTACTAATACCCCTACCTTCCCCCATCTGTCCCGAGAACCATGTAACTACTGCCCGTGACTAACGATTTCATACGCTCTGGCAACATATCGGCGATCAACGAACGAAGACATATGTTCGCCAACCGAACTTTCTAATACTTTGTCTAATAGCAGTTGTCAAGCGATTCACGTTAATTTAGAGTACCCACCCCTAATTATATATCTTCAACGGAGAGCCCTTATTCCCCTTGACGTAGCTTTATTTGCGCAACCGTCAATTCCGCAGAATAACTAAACCCCAGCGACAGATAAACTTTGTCCCCTTGATTTGGACATAACTATTTTGGCGCTCACTTTTAACTCTTACCTGGACAATTATACGTAGCAAATGGGTTAAATGGCCCAGCCATGAAAGAGTTTGGAGTTAACTCAGGAGTCGAACTGGCAACAGTAAGAGCGGGTGAGACCTAGTTCGAAAATTGCGTTCACGACATTGCACCCTCGATGTCAGGTAGGAGTTTGAATATGGATTTGTGCTATGTCGTGTGTATAAACGTTTAAGGCCCGGAGCACATCAAAGCTTGCCATATTTTCCGCTCTCTCATCGCAATCCATCAAGCTGTATCAGTTGCTTCTTGGGTAGCACCACATTGATTCCGCATGTTTGATGCATAGGCATTGCTCATAGCGTACCCGGAATACTTGCCGTCAACCCCACTCCATCTATAAAACCGACGTCCTGAACACGCTGACCCTTTCATGCAGGTGGCGCGAGAACGAAGAGCTAACTAACCAACTAATACCCCTACTTTCCCCGTCTGTCCCGAGAACCATATAATTATAGCCCATGACTGACGATTTCATTCGCTCTGGCAACATATCGGCGATGAATGAACGAAAATATATATTCGCTAATCAAACTTTCTAATACTCTTTTTTATTTGCAATAGGCAAGCAATTTACGTTACTGTATAACACCCACCTTTAATTATATATCCTCAATGAAGAGCTCCTATTTCCCTTTACGTAGGTTTTTTTACACCACCGTCGTCAACAGAGGCACCAAAGGACATTCTGTTGACCGTTGCTGAGCTACAGAATTTTACTGGTTTTTGGAAACTTGAAGCAGAATTGGCTGATCTCCTTGACTGTCAACTAGAGATGCTGAAGTCCACAAAGCCACGAAAGTGTGAGTATAAATACTACAATATTTTTTACCTACTGTCATCATAGCAGGCTTTATTTATTTTTCCTGCTTTCATTTTTAATTTGTTGCACTTCAGTGTTTGTAATGGTGGTAATATTAGTATAATTTAGATTTGCCACCGTGATAGTTACGATGCCGTTACATTTTAGGGAGTTTTAAGTTGACTCGCCTACTTGGAGTCATTTATAACCGCATTAACTGAACGTTGTAGCGGAGCTGCACTTTGAAAACAATAGGTGGTAAGTATTCACTCGTTAAGACAGAGACGTTCCAAAGTCGCCTCTGACACTTGTTCTCGTTGTGAAATAGAAGACGACTCGATCACTGGGACGTTTCGAAATCTATCGTAGATTCATTATTAGAGACATACTTACAGAACAGTACCAGAAACAGTATGTGTGTGCACAGGGTTCTGCCACAAAATCTAAAAAATTGATATAGGACTACAGTGTTTGCTGATTTGTTGTCTCAACAATGACCATCTGGCACAGGACGATGTAGCGGCCTCTTCTGAGACTATCTCTATGATGATAAATCTGCGACGGATTTCTAAACGTCAGGCAAATAAGTTTATTGTCCCAGCGCTCGGGTAATCTTCCACTTCTTAATTTCTTCCTGGAACTCGCATGTTCGCTTGTATTAGCAACTTGTTCTCCTTTAGTTAAATGCAATAATATTCATTCAATGGCTTCTATTCAAGCGCCCTAAGTGCTACACTTGAAGGTTAAGGGCGTAACGAAGGTCGACTGTGAATGGCAGCAGATAAATGTTCGATTTGCCCGATAGACACGAAAGGTCGGTACACGCCACGGAGCAGAAGTGACCCTACTGAAATGCCGAACGTCACAGGTAAAAAACTGAGATTTAACCGGCAGTACGAGATAATACTAAAAACTTAAGTGTTTTGGAAGGTGGCTGTGTGGATACATATATCACGAATTGGCGAGGTAGCATACAATCATCGTCCAATAAGACCGTTCCACACATTTGACGTCGGGCAAGGAAGGATATTTTCGGTCGCATGGACTTCCACAGATCTATGGTTACGCGTGGCCGAGACCGGTTACATCTAAGAGCATAATAAACTGCTGATAGGAGCGATATTAACCTTGATTACTGTCAAGCGCGGAAATAGTAGCCTGCGAAAAAAAGGAGTAAAAAACCAAGGCAGCGGACATATACAGTTGACATTTATGTGACCACTTCTATACGCCCCGAAAAAATACCTAGGCGTTTTTTTTCTAATTGTCTGCTCCTTGTCTGCTTTTTTTTCACATCACTGGCTCGTGCCATTTGGCAAGAACATTACCGGAGGTATTATTCCTCAAGCACCCATTACCCCTTTCGCACTAAGGGTTTGCGCTATTTTTTTTCTATTTTTTTACCTGGACAGATTTTTCACACAAACTTGTATCAAATGCTTCATTTTTAACACGTGGCATACCAAGAAGTGCGTGTTAACATATAGGTCGTAAAAATATAACGACCTACCTTTACTTTCAGTAAAGTGATCCGAACTGGACTAAACAGCAGTAAGCTAAACCTTGCCTGGCTAAAGTCGTTTTATTCAATAACACGGGCAAAAAGTAGAAATTGCAACTCTTTCCACTATTCCGGTTGCCATTCGCTAATTTCCAGGGAAATAAATGTGACTGTTATCCGTACGCTCACGTTAAGCCTTAACGTTAAGTATCGGGCATGCATTAACTTCGGAGCAAATTTCGGTTAGGTTTTAGGGCGAGGGATCAATTTTTAAATAGGGAGTCGTGACGCCAGATTACTAAAACTTTCTGGAAATGTGTCCTTGGTCGTTTTTATTTCCGGTGAAGGATGGTCTTAAGACGAAAAGCATCATCGTCGAGAAGAAAGGCTGGCTAATGATCTTCTGTTGATCTGATCTGCGCTGCAATATTTGTTGATTAAAATCCCTACAAATCAATATCTCCAAACAGATTTTGCTCCACATAAGCTACTCCGTCTTGTCTGATGGGCATGAAAACTGAAATAATAAAATACAGTCTTGTTTTCCGCCCATGGGAAATAATGATGTCAATATCTGCACCCACTATGCATCATAGTGGCAAATGATTATGCCGGTCTTCATGTTTGCTCTACCCTACAAGTGTGGTCTTAAGACGGCGTCAGCGTCTCATTGACCTGACGGCTACGAGTATAGCGCCAAATAATTTAAACTGAGATTAAATTTTCCTATGCTCTAGGAGGCTGGTTCGTGCGTATTCTCATGCATATTTTTATGATCACATC